CTGGTATTAGTTTGCCTTTCTTACTTGCAGGGCATCAGCCAGTGTTCCTATGCAAGGGCTTACAGAGGGTTTGCTCTATTGACATGGGATCCCACATAAGATTGTGTCAGATCAGGTAACCCACACCACCTGAAGTTCAGGAATGGGCTCATGACCATCAGATCCACTAGTCATATCACATACTGCACCACCCAGAAGCTGCTGGAAGAAGTAGCAGTCTCCTGGAAGCACAGCTGAAGTGCCAGCTTGAAGGTGATACTTTATAAGGATGGTGAACTATCCTCCAGAACACAGAATACACCTTGGATCATAGACTTCATATAGTGCTGCATCCCCAGTAGGGGAATTACAGGATTTAGAAACCAAGGAGCAGAAGTAAAAGTGACCGAACTTAACTTGATCCCCCCACCTACCATGACCCATTGAGGAAATTTATGGCTACTATCTCCAAAGGTCTCACCTCAAAAAGTTTTGAAATCCTTTTGTCCAATTAAAAACACCTTCCACCAAAGGGATGCAGATATTAGCAGGCAAAAAGAAGAGTCTCTATCATGGCTGTGGCAATTGACCTTAATCATCAAGAAAAGTCAGGGCTACAGTTACATAATAGGAACAAAAAGGAGTATGTTTAGCACACAGGTGATTTATTGTCCAGTTGTAACAGTAAATGAACAAGTGCAGCAATCAAAGATGTGGATCTGGGTTGTGCCACTAAGGAAGCAGCCTAGGCCAGCTCTCAAAGGGCAAGGGGTGCCTATACTTCCCAGTGGAGGAGCGAGACAATGAATCGTATTTGGGACTCTAGGACCTGCAGTAGTGCTAAGCATTATCCTTTTTCTCTTCTCAGATTACCCCAGAAAGAGAGGCCCTTCAGGATCCAGGAGGGGATGCTCTCCAAACATATAAAAAGTCAATCCAATGTCTCAAGAAGTGATCTTTGATGAACATGGCATTGCACCACCCCGCTTTGCCTTCAAGAGAAGATTTGTTGCCTGGCCTCTAAGGAAGCCAGCAGAAGGTGACCTTCAGCTGCCAGTCTACCAGGAATTGACTCTGCTACAGAGAGTCAAGTTGCCAAGGTCACAACCTTCCTGGGTGTGGATCCAAAAGGACATTGCTCTACATCCAATGACTGACTGAGGCAGAAGTATAAAGGCCCAGCCATTTTGTTTTGTTACAGGACAATCTGATGAACTGTGTGGTGGCAGGATAATGCCCCCATCTACAGATATCTACATCATAAACCCTGGGACCTTTGAATATGTTATGTTAAATGGCAAGGGGGAATTAAAGTAACATATAGAATTATGTTTGCTAATCAGCTGATCTGAAAATAGAGATTATCCTGGATTATCTGGGTGAGCTCAGTAGAATTATGGTGCTCCTTTAAAGTGAAAGGGAGGCAAAGGAAGGCATCAAGTCAGAGAGATTTGAAAATGCTATTCAGCTGGCTTTGAAGATAGAGGAAGAAGCCAAGAGTCAAGGAATGCAGACAATTTCTAGAAGATGGAAAAGGCAAGCAAATGAATTCTCCACTAGACCCTCCAGAAAGAACACAGTCTTGCTGAAAACATTGATTTTAGCTTAGTGAGGCTCATTTCTGATTTCTGGCCTTCAGGACTGTAAGAAATACATGTGGGTTGTTTTAATCCCCTAAGTTTGTGATAATTTGTTCCAACAGTAATAGGGAACGAATATAGGGCATTTTAGCTCCAGAGCTATTGTGACATGGGTCAAACAAGTGTGCTCTGAGGCCTGTGTCACAGCAGGACTTCTGTCCTATCCTGCTTCTTTCACCTCCTTCCCCGACATATTGAGCACCTAAGAGCATTCCCCAGGAGCACCCTACAAATGAAACTCTGTCTTAGAGTCTGTGTCCCTGGGAACCCAACCTAGGGCAGATTATAAAAGCCCATGATGACTTCTTAAGATTATAAATCTATAAGTAACAAACATATAAATATAAAGTTTATCATCATTATCCCTTTTCAGTATTTCTCAAAAAAATATGATGCCTAATATGAATAGCACTGGCCCAGGTGAGACAACATGAAGTAAATGTGAAGAAAATGGGCCCAACAGGTTGATATGAAGTTAGTTCCTGCTCTTTACTTCATGCATTACTCTAAACTTTGCAGATTTAATTTCCCTGTCTTGCCACCCCCATCCCATAAATAGGAAAGCTAAATACCTTTTACTAGATAGTATTAAGTAAGGTAAAATTATTTAAACATTTAAACCAGTATTTACTGATTTGCAATAATGGCTCAGTAGAAGTTAGTTGAACTTAACTCTATCTTACTGTTTTCTCTCAGAGAAATAAACTCATTTAATAATAAACAAAGAGTATCTTAGGATAAACAAAGTGGAGACTGGCAAATTACTATCGAATTATATGATTCTGCTCTCAAAATGTGTGCTTTAAGCTGAGAGCTCTGGAAGATTGGTGTGACCTGGGAAAGTGAAGAAAGGCTTCTTGAGGGATATGGGAACTTAGCTGAGCTCATAAAAACACTGGAGAGAGAGAGGAGCAGACAGTGGTGTCCTAACTCCAATTCCAGCACGTGGTCCTAGTTCCAGTAAACACAATTTGGAGGGGCAAACATCAGATAATCAAGTTTGCACGATGCTGTGATTGTTTTGTTTTAACTGGTAATGTATACAGTGTGTTTTGAAATGTATGACATAAATATGAAGTGTTGTTATAACCAAGAGGTATATGAGAAGAAGCAAAAAGGGGATAAGGACAACAATGTTTAGCTATATGCTAATCTCAAATCTGTATGAAAAACCTTTGAAAGTATGGTATAACCAGTACTGTTAGATTTATGGCCGTGAGTATTGTTCTCATTTCAAGCTCCTACTTTCCATTTATCATCTTTATATTCATGTGGCATCTCTATTTTCAATGTCTTACACATTTCTCCCTCTCCTAGTAATCTTTTCAGCTGAAATTTCACATGCTTCATATCAGCTCAGGAGCAAATTCTTTTCTGGAAGCTTGAACCTATCTGTTCAGCCATTTCTGAGTTACCCAACCATGAGCAAATGTTGTTTAGGAAATTTGTCAAGATCTACTTTTTTGTGTGTTCAGATTTAATTCAGGATGATTTAAATTCAAATCTCCAGAGCCATCAGGCACATATCCTCTCAGGAGAAAAAACATTCTTGGCTTTGAGATATAATTGGTTGAGGTTTACACTCCACTTTCTCTCTATATGGAGTGTGGTTATGAAGAGATCTACTCAAATCCTGGAAAATCCTTTGGGGCTCCAGACCTTCCACGCATGTTGTATTTTTAAAAATGCTTTTTTTCTTTCTTTTTTTTTCTCTCTACAAGCCATTAATGCTCTAGGAGGATTTGAGGGATAGCAACGCCTGTCTGGCTGTATTGACAGACAATAATAAAAGTTTTATTCTATGCAAAAAATTAGAAAAATATAGGTTTACAATATTTATTTATATTTAGGAACTTGGGCACTGGTCTTTCTATTATAGATGGGAAATATTTGTGTTGCTGGTAGCATCCATTAGGCAAGTATTGGGTATACTGACAAAGTTTATCCAAGATGACATCCTGTAAGTGTGCTAAAATACTGAAAACTTACAGAATGAAAAAGAACTAAAGCAGGAATGGGTGGATGGGGTGGAGAGAGAAGACAACAGGGCAGAGAAAACTTTATGACCTAGCACAAGGTCCCAAGACATATGAATGTGTTCCAATTACTGCATGACAAAACACCTCAAAATTTACTGGCGTAAAACAATAATGATCTTTTTATTATCATCACATTTTGGGGGGTTGGTTGGGCTCAGCTGGTCAGTTTTTGCTCAGGGTCTCTCATGCAATTAGTGTCTAGCACTAGCACTCTCTCAAGACTCACTCATTCACTCATCTAGCTCCTGGGCTGGGAAAGCTCAAACATCTCAGGCTCCTTGGGTATATCTTCTTGGCTTTGTGCCTCCTCTCCCCAGCACAGCAGGTTCAGGGTGGCCAAACTTCTTTCAAGGCAGTTCTGGACTTTAGGGATGTGTGTCCCAAGTGAGAGAGTCAGGTGGAATCTGCACTGACTTCTAACCTGGCCTCACAAGACAGTCACAAAGGCCCCATTCAGTTTCCAGGGGAGGCGACAGGTGCCAACTCTTAATGAGAGGTGCACCAAACAATCCTCCAGTGTGTTTTCCAACCACCACGGGACTTCATAGACCTCTGGCAGAAAGTCTGGGACAGAATAATGAGTCACTCACACAACCACGAGCTGGTTCATTGTGGGACCTTTTCTGCTGTGGTGGAAGGATACTCATGTTTAAGAGCTCCTTCGAAGTTAAGACAGCCTGCCTGGGCTTGCCTCTGCCGGGGCACTTACTGAGTCTGGAGCTTTAAACAAAAGTCAGTGCCTCCATTTTCTTACCTAGAAATTGGGGGTAATGAGAGTTAACATTTATTGAGCTCTTAGTAGGTGACATACCTTTGTCCCAAGTGCACTGTATACTTACTATCTTATTTTATAACCAAGATAACCATACCTCCCAAGTTATAATGTCAATAATAGGGCCATCCTTTGGGTCTGTTGTGCAGATCAAATGGGACCATCTATTATGTTCGCTCTTGATGTTATTAACGCTGTTGTGGCAAATTCTATTGGTGCCAGGTCAGGAGAGTGAACCGGTTCCAGAAATGGGCCAACCATGCACAATACCATACAGGAACATAGATTGTTCCCACTTGAAATGGAAGACCAGTCTGGGTGGAGGGGGTGGGGGGCGGGGCGGGGGGGTCAGATTTCTTGAGAAGACGAGCCAGTTCAAGTCGCACTATGGGTGCAGAACCCAGCGCATTTTGCAGAGTGGGAACAGGAGCACCGTTTAGAGTTTGCAAACGAGACTCTATTTTGTTCCTGAAAAAAGGAATTCACGACTGCAGGCTGTCGGAAGCGTTCTAAAGGGAGAACACTTGGCCCACTGCCCAAAGTGTTCCCAAGCGTCAGGAGCCCAAGTCGTGGCCGGATGCACGGAGCTGACACCTTTCCCGGGCGCCTCTTGTGTGTTCTGCCTTCCCTCGAGTCCCCGTTGCCACCCCTGTCTCCCTAACTCCCTGAACACACCTTCCTCTCCTCCCTCTCTCCTAAGGTGCCTACTCCCGCAATTGCAGAGCGCCCATCTTCTCAGCCCCGGCAAAACCCGGAGAGGCGGAATCCCTCCCCGGAGCGCCCCAGCGGCCACTGGGCATGCTCCGTTGTCAAGCAGGTTCGCAGCTGCGAGCAGCTTTGGAGCCTCACGGATTCCTCCAGCCGCCTCCTCCCGAGCAGGGAGCGGGCGCATGATGGCGGCGGCGGCCGGGAGCGCCAGCGGCGGCAGCAGCGGCGGTGCGGGCAGCAGCAGCAGCGACACGTCCAGCACCGGCGAGGAGGAGCGGATGCGGCGCCTCTTCCAGACGTGCGATGGCGACGGGGACGGATACATTAGCAGGTACTCGGGGAGGTACGAGAAAACGGCTGGGGCGAGACCCGCCCCTCCGTGCTGCCCTTGACCCCTCCTCTGCCCTCGCGCCCCAACTTCCAACAAGTAGCTTAGAAGCTCACGGGAAAAGTTGGCTGCGACTCTGAGAGCGCGTCGCCGGCTGGGTCACAGAGACGGAGAGGCCGTTTTACTAGCCTTGTGGAGCTGCCAGCTGATCCAACTTTTCCCAGCGCTGTCTTTGTCTGGGCATTGGGAAACATCTCTTTAGGATGCGAGCCCTCCCCTAGGTCTCCGAGCGCTCCTGCCAGTGGGAAATGGGTTCTGGCAGCTTGCCCCAGGTCAGGGGGGTGCTGCTGTGCAGCCTCGGGCTCCTGGGTGTCGAGATGCTGTGGCACTGGGCTGAGATCCGCCCGGCTGGTCGGTGGACAGCCCGAGGGGCGGACCAGGATGGGGATGCGCTCTAAGTGACAGAATTGGACATGAAAACAAGCTGTGGAGAACTTTCATGTGTCACGAAGTCTCCGTATTCCAAACTTCGGAGCCCAAGGAAGTAGTTTGTCTCCAGTACTGATTTAAACTTATTAGCCCGAGGGGAACGGAGCGCTCAGGCGCACAATGGAGAGTTAGAGGCGAGTCAGGAATACAGACCATACTTCCTACCCTGCCTCCGCGTCAACCAGGTGAGCCTCCAGAGGGGTTTCTGGGCTGCTCCGGGACACCACTCAGAACCCTCGCGGTGTTTGCTTCAGGATCCCCCTCCAGGGGCAGTGTTGCGGCCTCAAGACTCAGGGCTTGTCAAAATAATTACTTCTGCCCAGATTTTCATCACTTATCAGGCACTGATGGCGAAGAAGGCAATGGTAATGTTTCACGGCACGCTTCTATGAAAGGTTGAAAACGAGGCTCTGAAAACCTTAGTCGCCGAAATTTGAATTGCCTTAGAGGAGGTAGGCAGCCTAAGTTGTGTATTGCACCTATATGTTACATTTTTGTGTATTACATCTTTGTCTTGGTGATGCTAAAGATCTTTGAAAATTCTGGGTTGCCTCCTACTGATTGTCTTTGCTTACTTAAAGAAAAAACTGGGCAATTGCCGCCTCCACAAAAATTTTTTTAAAGATCTCTGAGACAGGTAATTTGACATGTAAGAATTTCACAATTAGAAAAACAATGATTTACTTTGAACTTTTGACTGAATTATAATCATTCTTAGCTGAATTTTATTACTTTTCTAAAGCTTCATTGGGAACATTAGCAAGATATCAGAAAACTTTAGGCAGTAATTCTGTTCTGAAATGAAAAAATATATGTAAGCCTAGTTGATCCCATATAGATTTTTATCTAGAAGTCTCTACCAGTTTTAGTTCTGGGGTAAAAATGTGTGTGTGTGTATGTGTGTGTGTGTGTGTGTGTGTGTGTGTGTGTGTATCTCCTATAGTTTAGATTTGTTAGGGTGGTGTTCCTCCTTGAAAGGCCTTTATCTCATTTTCAATAATAAAAACAATCTGCATTCTTCACATTAGAATACCAAAAAAAAATGTAATTCACATGGGCAAGAGTGCATATAGAAAACTAGTAGAATTCTCTCCTTCCTTTCCTTAATCTGGCCTATTAATATGTTGCTTTATCTGATCTAGACTTTCTGTGCAAATGGTTATAGTATTTTGAATGGTGGATGCATCTACCCTGAAGGATAATGAGTTCTGTGAGCATAATTTGAGGACTTTGTGTTGGAGAGTCAGGCATTGTGTGTAAGGTGTTGGTGACACAGGGGATTTAGAGTGGAAACCTACTGGAGCAAAAGTGGTGGCGGGGCGGGGGTGGGGGAACTGTATCATTCCTTGAACCACATCAGTTTAATATATCTGCTTCAAAGTTGAAAGGTTTATGCCATAATGGACCCTAAACTTTAACTGTGGGCAGAGTTGCTTTGGAAGTTGTGCTGTGACAGAATTCCCATGTAGGAGGATTTCAAGGATGCAGACTTACTGCAAGGGAACACCAAGGAACTTCTCTTCAAGTATGTTTACACAGCAAGCACAGTTTTGCCTGTAATATATGCTTTACCTGGAATATAGATAGTATGACTTGGGGAATGGGGTAAATGAAGAAAAGTGGCTTCTTTGTGCTACCCCTATTGAATGACTTTTAGTGACCACTCTAGAGTGGGTGATAAGGTGTGGGATGCTATGAATTTTCTCTTTTATTAAACCTGAGAGTTGCACTTTCCGCATTAAAACCTTAAACACCTTGAGTTCTTCAAGAGATGTTCATCTTTATGTTCATGGCACACAGCTGTCCCATTGGGATTTCAGTTGGGTGTGTACAATAGAAGCCTCACCACAGTCAAAGAGGGTTGACTTTCTTGGGATGGCCCTTCCACCATGGTGTCAATTCCCAGGTTTCTTTTCTCTTAATGCATTGCCAGTCTTCACATGAAGCATTCATCCTCATGGTTACCTCCAAGTCTTCAAATGATTGCTTTATTTCCAGCCTCATTGCCAAGTTCTGTGGAGAAAGGTATAAAAGGAAACTGAAATGAGTGTTGTCTATATCATTAAACAGAACTTTCTCAAATCCCTTAATTGACATCTTATTGGTCAAACTATAGCACCTTACCATGCCTTCTTGCAACAGAGTTCAAGGAAGCATGTAGTTCAGTTGGTCATATTACCTCCTAAACAACATTGGAGTTCTGTTACTAAGAGCAGGGACTGGATATTGGGCAAACAAATAACAACCAAAACATATATTGTAAATAACCCACATCTAGCTGGCTCTGGTCCTTTGTCTAGCCCTCATTCTCAAGCAGGAGTGGCCTAGAGATCCTATGATTGGAGAAAGGATAAGTGAAAGATAGACTGGGTGCAGGAGGGAAAATGTCAAGGTGCACCATCTCGGAAAGAGGCAAGTAAAAGTAGGGCTTTGAATATTCAATATTCTTTGGGCCCAATCTTCTCCATCAGACTGACAAAAAAGAAAACTGCTAACTGGAAATTCCTGGAAGAGCTGTTTCTGCTAAGGAACCCCCAGCCTGCCAGAGGGACCTAGAATCATCTTCATGGATATTTAAGCTGGAAGAGACAACTCCATCAGGTGAAGTCAAACTGCAGCTTGGATAGGGCAGGATTTGGGCTGCACAGTGGAACCGCAGCAGGCTCTTCTGTGCATTTCATTAGCTGTGAAGGGACTTAACATTTTATGGTATTGAATTTTTGGACCCTATTTATGATGTTATAAGACATGGTGGGGTTACTCTATTTGCTAAAATTAACTTCTCTCTGGTATTGTTAAAGCTTCGTCTCTTTACCCTTCAGTTTAAGAAACTATCTTGAATATTTTGACAAATACTTAAAACCAACACATGTTTATATCTATGTAGTTCTCAAGCCTTAGCTCAAACTTTGGTGTCTTTAGAGAGAGTTTCCCTGATGATTCTTTCAAAATGGGTTCACTCTACCCCACCATTATTCTCCATTAGAGTACCAGTGACTTTCTTCCAAGTACCCTTTACAACTTGTAAATGCATTTCTATTTACTACTTGTTTGCCTGTTAACTGTCTTCCTTCCACTAGATGTAGCCTTCATGAAGGCAGGACTGTGTCTGTTTTGTTAAAACACTATACTCAGGATCTAGCACGATATTTGCCAGTTAGCAATAAACCAGTCAATTCTGATGAATAAATAATCAAACTAAAGAGTGACTACATTCATGTATATTGAAAAATCTTTTAAGAATTTTCATTTCCAAGCATATTTGATGTTTATAAAATACTTTAAATGTGAGTGTACTTTTATTAACAAATGTTTATTTTAAAAATAGCTTCTTTCTGGTTATATAAAAGATATTTTTGTTGAAAATTTGGAAAACTACAGAAATATATAAAATGAAATAAAAATCACCCATTATCCCATAGCCAAGGAATATCATTTCTGTTTTCCTGGTGATGTATCTGCATGTTATTATTCCTCTAGTACATTAAAAATAATTAGACAAAAGAAAAGACATCCCATGTTCATGGAGCAGCAATAATCTCAGAAATCGATCTGCAAATTTACCTTGACCTTTCTCAGAATCGCAGCTGCCATTTTTTTTTGTGGCAGAAATTTGACAGTCTGATTCTAAAATTCATATGAAAATCGAAGGGACCCAAAAGCAGTCAAAATAATCTTGAAAATATTTGAAGAACAAAGCTGGAAGAGTCACATTCCTTTGTTTTAAAACTTACTAAAAAGCAACAGTAATCAAGACAGAGGAGCACTGGCAAAAAGACATATCGATCAGTGAGATAGAACTGAGAATCCAGAAACAAACCCATGTGTCTATGGTGAACTGATTCTCAATAGGAGTGCCAAGACAAGGGTGCCAAAATCAAGGGTGAAATGAGGAAAGAATAAACATTTTGCCCTGGCTGGCGTAGCTCAGTGGATTGAGCGTGGGCTGTGAACCAAAGCATCGCAGGTTCAATTCCCAGTCAGAGCACATTCCTGGGTTGCAGGCCAGGGCCCCCAGCAACCCCCCAGCAACTGCACATTGATATTTCTCTCTTTCTCTCTCCCTCTCTCTCTCTCTTTCTTCCTCCCCTCCCTCTCTAAAAATAAATAACTAAAATCTTTTAAAAGGATTTAATTAAAAAAAAGAATAAACATTTCAACAAATGATACTGGCACAACTGGATAGCCACATATAAAAGAATCAAGTTGGACACTCTCTTCATATACAGAAATGTGTATATTCCTCACATTCCTCATAAAAAAATTAACTCAAAGTGGATCAAACACTTAAATGTAAGTGTTAAAACTACTAAACTCTTAAAAGAAAACATAGGACAAAATCATTATCTCCTTGGATTTGGCAGTGGATTCTTATGTATGACACCAAAACAGGCTATAAACAAATGAACAAAAAGCGATAGATAAACTGGGCCTCATCAAAATTTATTAAACTTGTACTTCAAAAGATATCAAAACAGTGAAAGACAATGCAGAGAATGGGAGAAAGTATTTACAAATCATATATT